TTGTTTTTTTTTTTTTTTTAAATCACTAATTATAAACTGTAAAAATGTACCCTAATTCACTACAGTAGACTATGCCCTGAGAAGTAACATTACACACTAAGAAAAAGCCACTATAAAGTGTCAGGTATGTAATTAATTCAAAAGCATAAACTGCCTACAAGGAATTTCTCGGAAGCACATATTTCCTCCATTTTTCAGCAATATATTGCTTTTTCAGAGGAAAAGACTAATGAAAGTTTATGCTAATTCTAGTTTTCCCAACTTTAACTACACGATTCCTCCCCGCCCCCACCCCCCCTCTTTTCTCCTTTAAACTTTTCTGGGGAAACTAGATGGCTTCATAGATAAAGCTCTTGCTTTTCACCTCTGAAAGAGGATGTAGGCCTACCATGAGGTTCCAAAAAAAACTGAGCCTGATGAACTCCACTTAAGGATATCAATCAGAGCACTTTTTGGGAGGTAGTCAGAGTTATCTAAACACAAAATGAGGCCACCTCGCCAATGCTTTGCTACATTCTTCTTTGCTGGTGGAAGAACAGAGAAGAAGTTGGGAAGGAAACACACCTCTGAGCACATGGGAAAAACAAAAAGGAAAATTATGTTAGACAGGGACACTGAACTTCCTTTGAAACTAACTTGAATATTTCCTTTATATCTGACATTAATAAAACAGTAAGATCTAATTGTAAACACATCTCATCACCAAATGATTATAGGACAAACATGCATTTAGAAGTCACATCTACATTTCACTTCACTGCTTCTTTATCCAAAATTGCTCTAGGAGTTACAACTCAGGAGTTGTGGGTTTTTCCCCTCTACACACTGCAAGTGCAATAGTTCACTTCCTACTAAATTAAAAAAACAAACAAACAAAAAAACCCCAAACTAAGGAACATTCTTCCCTCACATAAGGCAAAACAAAACTAAGCAAACAACCCTGTCTGAAAATTCAATCACCAAGTCTCCGAAGACTCGCCACTTAAATTATTCTCTGGTAGTCACATTTTGTTCATTGTATTCTAAGTTATTCTGAAAAAGTATGCTTGTTGAGTCTGGCTATGCAAACAAACCTTTCCAAACCCCTTCGATTCTGCTTATCAGTATTATACAGTACTGTTTTAAAAATCCATTAATTATCCACTTAGGAAAAAACTCACTCCTGTCCATAAAGACTAGCTACACATTCTAATTAAGCAGCACTAACACAAAACTGTAAATGCCAGAAATTTTTATTATAAGACAGAATCTAAGCTTTCTCACTATATTACCACTTTGCTTATTTGTCTTAAAACAAGTTCTATATAAAGTAATTAATCGAAGAGTATAAACTGACAATTTACTTTCTCCCCTATTTAAACATCACAAGGATTTGACAGTATAAAGAATATGCAAGAAGTCAACAAAACACTAATATGCAGGCATGAGTAGATTAACAAATATTAATCAGAGCAGCACAGCAACGTGTTCCAATAATAACTTTATGTAAGTTTGTTATCATAGCTATCTTTAATGCTGCATGTGTTGCTCCAGTAACTGTAACACACAAGATAAATCAAATACCAGTGAAATAACAGCTAATGTATTCAGCAGCAGAGAATTCAACCCCTTGAAAGTGTGACTTCTTCTAAGTTTTTGTAGCTTCAAATTACATTTGTTCCTCAAAACCCTTTGTTTCTATCACAAAGAAATTCCTACAAAGACTAATCCAGTGAACAAAAAGAATTTGCATCGATTCAAATGACACATACCACAGCAGAAGAAATAAATGAGTAAAGATGCTGAACTTTATATGAAGACATTTACACATGTACAAAGTTTGATTTTATATTTGAAGGAACTTCAGAGAATGAGAGCCTTGTATTCTGCAGCTTCTGTTGGACATTTTCTCTGCAAGAATGTTCATTGACTACATTATAATTCTCTAACTCTGAAACAGTAAACTACTAAAATACATTACTTAAATAGCTGTACTCCGTAACCTTTATACATGTTAAATACCAATGGCCTGAAGCCACTTTTCTTTTTCGAGCACTGCCCAAATGGGACTCTTCGGTAATACTGAATGGTTACACAGGTATTTTCCAAAGATCATAGTTCCAGAACATCACACAGTTGTGATTCTTAATGCAATGTGTTGGAATTATCTCTTCAATCATTTCATGTAAGAGGCTTCAGAACACTGACAGCTTCAAGTAATTTAGTTCTAAGTTTTCTTCTTTCATATAATTTATTTTGTTACCATGAAAAAAATCAAAGCTTGAGTTTGACAGCTTATTGGTTGCATTCCTTTTGAAGGAGAAGATATGACTTGTTTCAATTTCACTTTTAATGTTTAGTTTTCTGCGTGGCAGAGTCTGGTCAGCAAACATTTCTAAATGTAACTATTCTCACTGGATAAAAGAAAAAGGGAGATTATTTCCATCAGGTGTAGGCTTTAAAAACCCACACTTAAGAGTCATACTACAGCCATCAATGTTTTGTAAAAGTAATAAAAATACCAGCACCATCTCTGATTAGAGCTCTCAGAACATTCTCTAAGTATGAAAATACAATGTGACTCTGTTCAGTTACATAGGACCAAATTTTGTCTTCCTTCAAGCAGGCATAACTCATGCTAACATGAATAGGAACTGCACACATGTACATGAGGGCAGCTGTTTGACCTTAAATGTTTATGATGGAAAGATTGCCAATTCAATAGTACAGTACTTCTACAATATAGATTTAAGAAAGCCGACTAAGACTCCAGATTATAGTCTGGAAGAAATATATAATGGGTTTCAAGTCAGACTCTAATATAAATCTTTTCCTCTAAACCTCAATCATTCCAGTGCAAGAAGAGACCATCTCTTCCCTTCCACAGTTTAAGAAATATTTCTTATCATGCTCCCCTTTCCCAGTCTGCTCCCGCCACTAATATTTTTCTCATGAACAGGCAATTTTTGCCAAGGTAAACGCAACACACAACTATGTTACTGTCTACGTAGTCTAGGGCCAAGAATGTGGTCCTTAATACACTGCCAGCTGACTTCACACTTTCCAGGTTCACACTCGTCATTAATGGGATTAATCAAGCTGACCCAGGCTACTACACATGCTTTAATGTATCTTTCATACTCTAAAAACATCAGGTACTCTGGGATGAGTAAACGTTCTTGCTCAAGTTAAGTTCTTAAGTTCAGACTCTAGTTTATACCTGAACCTATCCATTTCTCAGTGGTCATAGAGACAACATCTTATGATGAAATTATCCTCTCAAGCTATTCCTGCACTCCTTCACACATCAATTATGTTCTTCTGCCACTAAAACCATCAACCAAGACAGCATCCCAGAACACCTGAAAACAGACGGCCATGTAATATGTCCCTAGCTATACAGAGGCAAGTGTGCATGCCCATTGAGACAAAGCTTTGCCATAGAGATGCTCAAACCTAGGTCACTCTTATCTAGGTACTGTAAACAGAAGAGTGTACATTTAGAAATGTCTCTGTAAGCTACTCTGTGCCTGAAATGAGTTATGAACATACTCTCTAAGTATGTTCACTAGAGATGAACACTAGAGGTGGTCTATTTTCATTTTGAAATGCAAAAGTAATCCCCATCAATCAAATTATTTAGAATTGTTGGAATTCCATGTTTCAAGTGCCTTTTTTTCTTTCCAATTGATACCTTTTGAGCAGACTACGTATTTTTTTTTCTCCCTCATTGTTGCTCTCTCTGCCCAACAGAAACAGCAGCTTGAAACTTATCACAGTCATGAGGCACTTTGGGCAGGAGAAATACACAGCAATTTTGGCGAAGACTCTAGCTGAAAATCTAATCCCCTCAGTAAATAGTCTGTTTGGAACAGAGGCAATGTTGCCATTTTACAAACTTCTACAGTTGTACGATGTTTCTCCCCTGGGTCTTTGGACCAGCAAAATTCCATTAGTGTAAAAAATCCCTTATATAGACAAGTTCAAAGGAAAGGACAAAATAAACCATTCATGTTTAACTTCACTGGAAAAGAAGTATGTTTCAAATTCCCTTAAAATTTACAGTTATGTAAACAGAGATGTATGGTTGGTGAAGTGCTCTTAAGAAAGACTCAAAAGTAAAAAAACCCAGACTGAAGCTCTGCAAAAGAACAGAAGTGAAGAGAAAGCTCCCTCCTGCTGTTTGTTGGTTGGTTTGTTTTTTGAATTGTGTAGTCTCAATAACCAGTTAGAATAATTACTTTTTGCTCCATCATCTATTGGACTTGCACGGTCTTCGTTAAGTACAAGTTACCAATGTGTGATTTAGCAGGCTGAGATTCTGTAGTGTACATAATACATTCAGAAATGTGTATCAAATGTCATTAATTCTGGATTGTTGAGATAAAATAAATAAATAAATACCAAGTAGGAAATGAAGGTAAAGTAGTCTGTTCCAAGAAAAGTCTTTCCAAATGCAGCTCTGACTGTAAGTCTGAGTGAGAACGTGTGTGTTTGAACTATTTTCTGTCACATTTTCCTGTATCTGCTTTTCAGGATTTCAACTTCATAGACTTTCCTATCAAACTCATGTGACAACTAATAACCAAACAAAACCTCATTTACAATAGTAAAAGGCATGGCTCCAATACTGTTACTGGGCCTGCAGTCTGGTGCTCTACCAAAGGATGCTAATACAAAAGTAATAGCACTCACCAAATATAGTCTGAATCCAATAACGTATTAGCAAGATGCCACTATAGTAAAGAGGAATAACCTGGAAACAGGTTTAGTTGACACTGACAGATCCTCCTATTCTTTTTCCAGACACTCTGTTTCAAAAGCATTTCAGACTTTCTCTTTTTTCCTTTTTTTTTTTTTTAAAGTAAAATGATTCAGAGTCCACCTTAATGCTGAAGTTAAAAAATAAGAAAATGGCATGGTAGGAAGCTGACAGAGTGGTTTCTTAAAAAGATCAAAGAACAAAAGGTACACCAGTTCTTGAATAAATAAAGTGACAGACTTCTACTCTGAATATGAACTTTAGGACTGACCATTGAAAGAGTGAGAAACACATGGTTAGCTAATAATTGCAACCAAGACATGCACTTGTGTCTGAAAAGAGAATATTGCACTAAAAGAAGAACCCTGAAGGCTTTAAACTCTTCCTTCACTGACCTAAAAAAGTAACTAACCATTTCCTATAAGCAGTGGCAAACCTGGCTTGGTCTGCATCCCTACAAGTTGATAATACTTTATCAATGAACCGGTATTCCATTTCTGGACCAAGAGAGTCCTGCATAGGAGCACGCTTCAGGCGTTTTGTTTCTTGAGTATAACCTTGTTTGCTGCTGGATTCGTTCAAACCATCAACATCCATAACTTGTGCCATGTGACTTGTCGCAGGACTGTGGTGGGCATTATTTAGAGTTTCATCACTGCTGTCCACGGATGATACCACCGCACTCAGAAGAGGAAGTTTGTTGGTCAGGTGGTGCTGAAGGTAGAACACACGCCTTCTTCAGAGGAAAAGGAGGGAAGAAAAAAAAAAGGGGGGGGGGAGAAAGTCAGTCATGCACTGAAAATAATCTGCTGTTGCTGCTGAACTGCTTCAGTTCATTTGCCATCCTATCAGATTCCCCCACAAACAGACTCAAAATGTGCTGTCGTTGCTCGTACTCGACAAAAAAGGGCTCAGTGTCACTTTGGCAAATCTGCTGCTACCTAGTCAGGCACATACACGCAGCTGGCAAAGCAGAGGTTTTCTGCAGCTGATCCATATTCTGCCTATCTTTTGCTCAACTTTTGCCCTTTAAACATTTTAAGCATGAGGAGGCTGATCAACAGTGTCTTGTGTCTCTTGCACAAACTACAGGAACAAGTGGAGTCTACATGAACAAGATACTTAAGCCCAATCAAATTTTGTATTACTCTGATTATGCTCTGGAACACTTTCCAAAGGCTTAAGACATGGTAGCTTAGAAATCTTTTACTGAGTGGTACCTTTTAAAACCAGAAAAACAATTTCCCTGGAAACATCAGGCAAAAAACAATCCACAAATCAGAAGACACTCTTTTGACCAAGTCCTCTTACCTATGACACCACAAGGTTTCGTGCCCTGGGTAAGTATCAATCAGCTCAGTGCAGAGCTCCAACTCTTCCTCTAAACGACGGGGGAGATCCACGCTCTGCTCATCCGCACAGGCAGCTTCTGCCCCTGCACCCTCCTCCTCCTTTTGAAGGCTAGGGTTTTGCTCATTTACCATTTGATTTTGTACCAGTACATTGTTGTCAGTCACAGTTCTGCCTATCAAGGACTTGAGTAAGAACTGGCGGTAATGAAATCCACTATGGTCTGAGACATGCACAGATACCCAATATTTAGTGGATGAAAGTTCATCAAGGAGAACCTGAAACAAAAAGCAGTGACAGTTATCAACCAATATAAAGAAGGAATTTACCACCAGTGTGTCTGTATTAAGGTAACCTCTCCTCTGGGGACTTCAGCCACTGTGGTAATGGTTTAATAACACACAGAGAAAAATTAAATAATCACTGAGCTTTTTCCACTGGGTGCTGACAAGTATCTTGGCATCCCTGCACAAGAGAAACTATACTTGTTCCAAACTCTGAAAAGGTAGGTATCTCAGAAACCTTCCCACAGGGTGAGGGGGCAAAAAAAACCCCCGAACCACTTATAATGAGAAATAAGCAGTGGTTTAAGAAACTCAAAATGGTTAGGAATAAAGAATATTTAGAGGATGCAGACGGTACATTAAACTACATGGATATTAGTTAGAAGTATTTTAAGTTTTGGGTAGTGCATTCTGGGTGTCAGAGGGTGGACGAGTTCATTAAAATAAATAAATAAATAAATAAATTATTTAAAGCAATTCACACTTTAATCTTCCAGAAAAGAATGTCAACCACTAAGATTGTGTTCCAAGTCCTAGAGCCTGTGGAATACAACACTACTTGTCCGTAATTAAGTTGCTTCACTTGTTAATTGGTGAACTCCCAGAAGGGCTTTCCCAATAACTGTGGTAAATACTTACATTGGTGACTGCAGCTGTATTTGTAACACTGCTGGCACCTATGAATTTTCTCTTAATTCTGAATGGTTTTAAACCTTTACAATTTATTTCTGGGAAAATGGATGAGTTTGGCTACTGGGCAAAGATTCTTTTATTTCACTTTCTCTATTAGAACTAATGGCTGTATTTCTTTAAAGGCTTTAACCTCTTTCCTCACATTGCTCCTCTGGAATTTGAGCTCTCCAAACAGATCAAAACTACCTTTTTCATCTACTTCTAAAGACTATGAATATAACCTTAGTGGTATGTTCTTGCTTTTAATGTCTTTTTCTAAGCTACCTATGTCACTTAACAGGACCAGATGACGCAAAGCAACTTTCATAAGCACAAGTCTTTCTCCTGCAGCACAAAAGGCAAAGCCTCCCACAAACAAAACCATGGAAATGCACAAGGCTAATTATAAACTTTTCTGTGGTGCATCTGTTCTAAAAAGATATTAGAGCAAATACAAATGAAGGCACAAAAAAGTGCCTTCTACCCGAGATACTCAACATGCTTTTTTGGATCTTGACAACAGATACCTGTATTCCTTTTACAGATCAGCAAACTGAAGGGCACTACTAAATAACAGCCCACACGTGGGATTCTTAAGGGGGCTAAAACTCCCCATCTCGAGTTCTGCACTTTAAACCACAAGATCAGCTTCTCTATTCTCAGCAGAATCAAGCTTACTATTTTAAATTTCTGAACATTAAAATTTAAAAGCCTATTAAAAACAACATAATGCTCAAGGGCAATATCAGAAAAAAATCAGACTAGTCTTTATATAGCTGGAAGTGATACTACACCCGTTACGTCCAACTTAGATCTCAGGATAATTTGATTCATTTACCTGACACGCTTATAAGCTACAAAGTTACAAGGGAACATTGTAATTATGCATTTTAACTCTCTGCATAAAGCAAACAGAATGATTCCCAGCATCACTCCTTACCTGAACTAGAAAACCTCTTTTAGAAAAGCATGACAGAAGACTGCCATTAAACCTCTTCAGATCTACAACAAAAGCCTCTCCTCTAGGAACCTCAGAGTAACAGTGGAAGATGCTTCAAACAACTGGAGGTAAACCAAAAAGCCAGCTAATGTCTGAATTCCAACAGAGGTTCTTTCTTACCAAGTCAGTTTTCTCCATTTCCACGCCAAAAAGCACAAACCCTTTCTTCTGTGAAGCACAGAGAAAATGATATGAAAACACCTCCCTCCCCACTCTTGACAACCTCTCACAAAGGGCCCTCTTCTGCCTCTGGTGGTGAGCTAAGTACCATGGAACTGGCATCCTGCTCCAGAATAGGACATAGGCACTTGGTGACCTCTGCCTCAACCACTGGGTCTGCACTTTCTCTTACGCCCTCCCTGACCCTGTGCTTGCTTTTTTTAAAGTACTTACCCACCACAAACTGCAGGTCAAAACTTCCTCCCTGATCTGGGACACAAGGGAAATTAAAAGGAACTTCTAAGGACAACCAGATAAATGGGTCAATGTCCACTAACACAAAAGACAGGTACCTTTGGAGGTCCAGTCATCTAAGAAAAAGCCAAGGCCTTACTGGGGATTGTCTGCAGGAAAGATTACTTTGTGTCTTATGAAAATAATTCTGTCTTCTGGGCATCACACAAGAGAGGTGTTGCCTCATGACAATCACCCCACCACTTGTTTCTTTGTTTATTTTTTATTGTACAGTCTCATCACTCTCCATCCTGTAATTATGAAATTGAGTATTCCTATCTAAAGAAAACAAGAAAGTTTCTCGGTCCTTGCTGAAATACATCATCCTTGCTGAACTACATTCTATTTTTGTACCTGTGTGATTTCTCGGAAGCATCATGTGTATGAATTTTAACAGACTATACCAATACTATTCTCTTAATCTGGTTCTATTAGCTACGCACCAACCTATTAGTAGGTATCTGGAGCCCATGTTTTTACCCCATTAATTAACTGTACTGTCAGGTAGAGAAAGCTGAAGTCAAGATTTCTCTTCCTTTTCCAAGGCATGTACTCCAATACCAGAAAGATTAGATTGGTTTGGAACAACCTATTCTTGACAAATCCTTAAATGATACTAACAAACACTATTCAAACACTATGTAAGCTTGCTAATGTGGTTCAACTTCTGCAGGAAAAACAAACTGAGATTTCTATATTCAAGCAAGATAATGTTTTCTACTGTCTAATGTAAGAAAGAAGAAACTTCTATGTTCTGTGAGAAAATTCTCCTACAGGGCCAAAACTTTCTCCTCTAGTATTTTATATATTTTCCCCAGAGTTTCAACTGAGATTCAGTCTTCAGAAACATTAGGATTACTAAACCAAAAGGAAAAAAACCTGAAACCCTACCAAACAACCTACCCCCACAAATCCTCCAAAGCAGGCTAACAGTTTCATAAATGATAAACCTGTTTTGAGAAGTCGTATTTCAATGATAATACAACACACACTGTGTTTCTGGGTGTCTGTTTCTTTGTACACTGTAATAAAAAACTATCTCAAGCTACAGGCAAAGTTTTTATTATAGCAGAAATAATACAGGGTGCTCTAATTTGAGGCAACCTTGTAAGAACTAAATGGCTGTAGAATTGCAGTGACTGTTTTATCTGCTAATTTTTTCAGCACAGTTCTAGTCTTACATCTCGGTGAAATTTGCCATTCTTTTCAGATACTCAAGCACACAAAGGGTTAAAGGTATAAAATGAGACAAATAAGAGAATAACCTGTATATTTCTGTGAATATCTGTAATGTCTGCTTTCTCCCTGTCCTCCTTTGTATTTGCTTTTCTCCCCCTCACATCATATCTTGAGAATAATCACTTTCTAATTCTGCCTTTTAAAATCACCTGGACACAACTTTTATCTCAAGATTCTCGATGCTTTTACGTTCCACACTTACCCCCAATTTTCCTGCATCCCAAACACCTTCTGCTAGGCTATCTGAAGAGACACATTGGTGGTATCACCAAAAAACCCCTTGAGTCAACATGGAGATTTCCCAATGGGTTAAATACACTGGTCAAGGAACAGCAGCACCAGTGAAATTTTGCCAGAGGTAACAAAAGCCAGTTGGACAAAACCGGAGAAAACTATCACTCCCTTACTAATCAGCCTAAAAAGATGACCAGTATGGCAACAGGGATGGCGGGCAAGGCAAACAGACTTGGGAGTCATCAAATAAGTTTCAAACACTTCCTTCCGAGGCATTTGTGACACACAACTGCCAATGAATAAACCCACCAGAATAACTCCAGCTCTGAGAAGAGTTATTTCTACCACAACACAGTTCTTTCTGCTTATTTAAATTAATAAGGAATAGCAAGCGTAAAAAGAACTCAGGCTGTTATCCTGAGCTTCAAACTACTGTTAACTAAAGCATAAAATTACTTGAGTTTTAATTAATAGGGCTAACTTTCCCCCCTTCTTTTTAATAAAGCTATTAAAGACATGTAAAAGACTGTTACTTGTTAATACAGACCTCTAACCCTAACTTCTAACCTCAGATCTACCCCAATCCTGTAATTCTTCTGACTTTTCCATACAAACTTGCTAGGCAGATGAGTCCAAATTCTGGGCTGTCTCCCTCAAAGTCTGGAACATACTTGCTATTTACTACCGATCTAATGCAGCTAATTTTAAAGTTTCTCCAGTGACAATTAAAAGGAAACATGAGCAAAACAACATCCACTGCTAGCAGTACCTAGCCCATAAGACATGAAAATAATGGCTCTACCGACTCAACAACCTCCACTAAATTTCTCCCTCACTCCTCTAAGTATTTACAGGATGGCAAAACACAGCTGCTGCCATTAGAAGTGTGTGATGTGTCACTATATCAGCCTAATATTCACAAGGAATTCACCTAACAGCTTAGAAAGCACAGTATTACATAACTGCCTATGTGATTTTAGATCATGTCACATTAACTAATTCAGTTTGCTGCAAGTCTTGATGTTTTAGATACTACTATGTGATCTGAAATATTCACCATCACATAAGACGTCCCTGCTGGAGCTGAAATAGCTTGATCAGCCCTCAGTTTAAATGCTGTCAAAAGATACCTTTGGAGCTGAAGAAACTAATTATGCAAGCACTACTATGCTTTCTCTGAAATTTCTGATGTCTTTACTTAATCCTTCAATATTCTGAAACTGCAGATAAGCTGAATAAGGATACCACTACAGGACATCACATTACATTATCAAAATAGTATCTATCACGTATTATCTTTTTCTCTATTAGGAATATCAAGATTAATGCTAGAATTATTTTCAGTTGCCTCTTCTTTATTTTAGCTCACATAGTCCCATCTATCCTCCTGCCACAAGTTCATTAACACCAAGTACACAATCAGAACTTGGTACATGGGCAAGAAAAATCTGTTTTTTCTGCAGAGCAAGAAAAATGCAAAACCACAATCATTGCAATATTTTGCCTGTTTTTTTAAAACACTCTTAGCTACCTGTGCTAACTTAATATGACACTCTCCATCCATGTCAAAGGATCTGCTTAGCAAATCAGTATTTTTTTTTTTTTTTTAAGACAAGGAAATTTAAGACTTTATTCACTATTGTATTATACCTTGACAGTCAGCTTTCCCAAATGCTGTAAAACCCAGATGCGATGGGACCAGGCATTGTAGTTGCTTGGATATCTCCCAGCAGCTTCAGAGCAGACATTCATTTCCTCCTGCACTAGTCGGTGAATTCTCTCCACAGGTGCTGCTCCCAAGTTTCCTTTAGTCACAAGACTGGGCAAGGAGTTTTCCTGAATTAGTTGTTGCAGCACCCATCGTCTGGTTAAACGATGTACAGTGTTAATGGTGAGAGAGCAATTTTTATGAGAAAAAGTGTTTTTTCATTTACACAAATAAACCAAGCCTTTCTGATATTTCAATTATCTGACTTACACTGTAACTAATAAAAAACAAAAAGTAGTAAACAAACTTCTTAACTCTTCCCATACTGAAATCTCTGACTTTATGGTCACATTCTAAAATAATTTAACTCTAGCTGTATTTGTTTGTTCACTCACTGTAAGTGGTCATGGCTACTTAGACTAAATGGAAACAAAAGGAAACAGCAGATTTATGAAAAAAAAAATGCAAGAACTGTCTGCATGGAATTTCTAATGAGCTCCTCTTTCAGAAACTTGTATAGCACTAAAATAAGGTATTCAAAATGAGACTGAAAAAAGTTATTTGATAAAAAAAATTAACTGTGCTTTGTATTTTCTACATTAGTCAGTACTGCACACAGCAAGCCCAATTAGTTTCTGCACACCACCAGCGCAAAGAAAGTGCAAAAGACTTACGGTTTCAAGGGCTATAGCAATAACCAAAACAACCGTTTTTACTGCTGAGTTATACACATTTGATTTGAAGTGACTTGAGGTAAGCAGATTCCTACATGGCATTTTAATTTCACTTTGCACTGACTTTTAGTAGTAATTTAGTAGTATTTTTAGGTGAGTATTTTGAGAGGTGTCCTCAATGCTGCAGAAAATGTGCATCTGCAGACCCTACACAAAAGGGCCCTACAAAAAGGGATCACAGATGTGTAGATCTCCACGCAGCAGCATGTGTCAAGAGAACTGCAACGGGCCCATGTGGAATGCTCTGGAAAGCTTGACATCCTCCAGTCTGTGACACAGAGGTTTTTCTGTTTTGTACTGGCTCACATCAGTTCCAAAACCAATCAATTGCTACTTTCAGAAAGCTGTCACTCCTGATTAAAAGAAATCTATAAATAAAATAAAAATAATAAATTAATTTTCTTTAAAGTGAGAATTCTATTTTGCAATTTGTATATAAAATCGCATTGTGTATATATAAAAAAAACAGATAAGCAAATCACTGTTAAAAAAATATTTGGGAATCCATCTGCTTTTCCTCTCATTTCAAAACGTTTATAATATTCTTGTTCACTGGTATTTTTTATTTACACTGTGTCTTTTTCTCTTAGTTATTTAAAAAAATAAACTATCAGAAGACAATATTAAAGATATTTTAGATGTTTTAGAATAAGAATTCAATTTCTAAACTGACTGCATTTCTCAGCAGAAATCACAGGCAGTGGATTGAAGCCAGTGGTCATACCCTGTGTTCCTATATAATGTTTGTTTTAACTAAAGATGGACAGCTAAGTCAATCATGCTCTTTGACTGTAGTATAACTTTGTTTTATGAAATGTAGTAATTTTGAAGACTTGTTCCTATCAGTATTACTGTTCCTGGAATTACTGCAAATGAATGCAGGATTATTCAGTAACAATTGTGAAATCAATAGATATAGTGAATGCATATGCGCACGACCTATCCGAAATTCCCCCAAAATGTATAGCAAAAGGCTATATGGCAAAACGTATGACAGGTATTTTGACATCTTTAGTGAGTGTATTCACCATCTGTAAGAAAAAAAAAAATTCTATCTATTTTACTGAATTTTAAAGCTGCCCTGTTCTATTTTTTTGCACTTCTGTCTGAAATTTGGTATCACGGGCAAACAGAAAACACAAAATTAATCACTATGCTGATGTAGAAATAAATTTTTTGCACATCTTATTTTCTAACATGTATCAACTATGGCCAGCACATCTAAATCCAAGACAAACATTTGTACTATCCTCCTCAAATATACTTTTCTGTTTTAGGCAAATATGAAAAAGAACAACAAATTATAAGACTATTAAAATACTCCCAATTTAAGATTGCATAGAAGTTATAGAAATAATAAAAAAATCTGTCTAAGATGTAAATAAATATTAAAACCCTACTATTCTGATTAATTTAATAAAGATGTATTGATCATCACAATGATAAGGATGGCACCAGGTTAAGCACGAGTTACATGCAAAAAAATAATTTTTCCAGTGTCAGCTACCATGTAGGTAAGGCTAAACTATGACAAACTGCAAGATTTTTTCCCATTATTTCTACATGCTCCTTTTGCTTCAAAGAAATCAAGCAGCACAAGTCAGTAGCATGGAGATGATGAAAAGCAGTTGAAGAACAACAAAATTAAAACCAACATTGCAGATATTCATCAGTGGTGTTGCTATGTCAATGCTACTAAGAACAAAATAAACAGAAATTAAGTAGATGTCTATAAGTTAAGAAACACAAAGGAGTATTATGTGTATTACAGTCCAGGTTAACCTTGAGAATTTTAAGCTACGCGCTCACAAAGAGTTTACCAAAAACTCCCTCTTCCAAAATGAAGCTTTATGTTTCTGATAAAGCATGAATCCCCTAATTGGGTATTAGCTGTACGGTTGTCCTAGTGGTGGACATGTGAAATGCAAACATTGCAAACTGCTTTATAATGTATTACGTTCAAATCTCTTTTAAGGCTGTCTATAAAAGGATAAATTATCCTGTGAAAAATACATAATGGGGGTAAAAAAAAAAAAAAGTCACACACACCAAGATTTATGTTTTCTTTTTTAAACAAAGTTGAGCAACAGATCTATACTTCACTGGGCTGTGCTACAGGCATTTTATATACACTCAGTCATGACTGAGATAGTTAGCTTTGTGCATTTGCATCATTCTGGAGTTATCTTTTCCAAAAATGTGCTCTGTTATTTTAATATTTAGTACTGATGACTTAATGACATGGCTTCAGTTAGAAATTATAAAAATAAATTCACCAAGACGACCAGTGTTGGACTGGAAAAGAACCCAACTTCGGTTATAAAGATTAGGTTTTACAGATTCTTGTCTTTCTGAAATGCCTATAGACAAGCAATATAGTGGTAAGTTGGAAGAGAGAAAAAGGCAGAAACCCACAATGCTCAAATACTTACTATTGGAATCAGAATTCTCAGGCTGAGAATTTTAGGTGCTGCAAGACATGATAAACTTTTAGGGAAATTTATACCACCTCCAAAGTTCATTAAAAAAATATGCAGCAAAAAAGGTGCACGGGATTTCAGTTTTAAGTGTACAATACAGGCAAATATCTTCAAAAGCCAAAGCATGGTATTTTACGATGACTGGCTCAAAGAATCTGCTATATTTCTAGATGTCTTCCTTCATTTATGGCTGTCCTTAACACAAGCACAGGAAAAAAATCCAAACAACAAACTAGGAAAAACGTTAAAGTGTGTGGAGGTAACAGAAGGCAAGGGAAACAAACCTATGAATCCACGTTTCTGGACTCTTTGGAAACTTGGTTAACGCCAGTTTTCCAAGATGCAAATCTTTAAGTGGATTTAAAGTGCCAGACAGTATTAATTCTTTCCTACAAAAGATAAAAGAAATTTGTATGAATAAAAGTAGTAACCTGAAAACAGAACACAAATTCCAATAATAAATAATACGGCATTTCCTTTGTATCGTAATAGAACTTCACTGTCAAATTACAAAAGTTTTAAAAGGCTTTGGCGGATTAACCCATTGCACTCTGCTATATGTATGCACACCGTATTCAACCAGGCCCAATAAAATAAATCTAGACCAAATAACTTCATTTTAATCTGAACACATACAACCCATTGGTTCCCAAACCTACCCAGAAATCACCAAGTCAATTGTATCCGAGTGTCTCTCTCCATCACGTTTTCTGTTAGTAATCAGAAAGCCAAGGCATTTGGGCTATAAGTAATACCTGTTGAGAATAACGTTGCTTTTATCTGCACACACTCTAAAAGCATCTTAATAACACAAGTAGCCTTCTTTTTCTTTGTTTTTCTTTGACACAAGAGCTGCCAATAGGGTTATATATATATATGACTTTTTGAAATTAAGTCCTGAGATCATTCTGTACATCTGAAAATACAGTTACACTTCCAGCCCCCCACTTAATTTTAGTTTTCAAATACAGCTCAAGGTACATTATCAAGGATACCTAAATTTAGAAAGAAGTGGGAAATATTCTCTGTGTGTAGAACATTTTTCAAACTTAACAGAAAGGCTGAAATCACTAAATTTACTTATGTGTAAAACAACTTCTGGTAAAATAAGAATTTGCCCTAACAAAACAATGTTCATCCTGCATAACCCTTCCCAGAGTACCTCTGACATAGACAGAGCAAAGTGGAAGTCCATATTTATCTTTCTCACCCTCTTCGTGCAGAATTTCCTGCCCTACACCCTATTGTTCTTTCTAGCTTTCTAACTCTTACTGCCTGTCCCAAGGCATGTTTGTAGACATCAACCCATCACCGGTTACTCCCAGGACATTCGTCTCCATTTCTTATTCAATCTAGCAGATAGTGGCTTTGAAGTAAAGATACAGTGAATTCTAAAGTTACCGCCTGCAGACAGGAAACCTGCATCTCCCAGAACCTCCAGAAGTCACAAGTGAAACTGAAAGTGCAAGAAGTAGAAACAATTTTGGCATGGGTTTGGTGGTGGGGCTTTTTTGTTTGTTTTGGGTTACGGGTTTGTTTGGGTTTTGTTTGAGATTTTTTTTTTTTTTTTAAATCATTTATGGTTTATCTTAACAATACACATGGCACCAGGTTCAGCAAGAGGAGCACTAGCAGGTGAAGAGCAGGTGATCCATTTTCTGAAAAAAAAAAAAAAAAAGGGGCGGGGGAAGAGGACAGGGATGAAATACCCTCTGAAAAAAGCTGCTATCCAGTAAGAAGGTAAAACTCTGCAATCTGACACAGAACACATAATGTGGTTTTAAAGTTATGGCCCGAGTCTCACACACAAATTTTAGCGTGTGCACTTACTGTCATTTTCTGTTTGTTTTGGAAGTTTTCAGTAGGTAATTGACTCTGCCTGGTACACTGACTTTGTGTTGCTTTAATCAAACCGTATACCCACAGTTAGAAGCTAATGATGGCAACACTAACAGTGAGCAACATACTATTTCAAATTTAAGAAAAATGGTGAGACATATACAACCAGGCACTACTAGGCTAGACCCTTCTTTTGCTACTGAACCAACAGTTGAATAAATCCTTAAGGAAGTTTTGCTCCTGACACCTGCTGAAGTCAGTAGAGAACTGTCTGCAGAGATCAGGAACAGAGCTACTGGGACATTTGTGTTTATCTGCATCAAGTTCCAGCATGCTTCAGATTGGGTGCTTTTAGCAGGTGCTCAACAGCAAATCCAGGTAGTATCAGCCAGGAGTAGCAGACTGACCAGACTGGTGCCAGTGCGTTGACTTTTGCAAAGGAGACAAGAGAAAGATGCAGGGAATGTCAACACTAGAGCAGGTGGAATAATTGTCCCATTTCTGCAATGCAGGATGTAGTATCTTGGTAAAAATCAGTTACAACATGGACAATGAAAAAGCAGCCTAGATCAGTCTAACACTGAAAACAAATGCATGTATAGATTCAACAAAGATGTAGATTACCAGGCTACCTAGCTCCCAAAACTCAAACTCTTGGTGAAGAAACTGCTCGTTCTATATTCAAGCATTAGCTGTAAATAAGTAGGCTCACACATATTTACTTTTACAGTAAATTTACTCTTTTGCAAAGTTGAAGAACATTACAGGCAACTTTACTGCAGACAAATTCACTTTCACTGCTGTGGTAGAAAAGCAGTTTTTAGTTTTAGAGATTTTCAGATAAGAGATCCTCCCATCCACAAGTAAGGGACCTCAATCATAAATATGACTAAAGTATCATATACTCTCAAATAAATCTTTTTCAAACTCTTTCAGCAAACATCCAGTTTGGGACACGGAATTTCTAGCTCACTTTTTTTGCCATATGGAACATATAAAATTTTTCAGCCTTCAGAATTCTAGCTCCCATAAAAGATAATCTGAAATGATTTTGACTTGTCTTATGTTTTTGCTGACACCTTTGAAGTCATTGATATCTGATAGGAAAAACTTTGAATTTTCAGAGCATCTTGTTACCTAATGTCTTTTAACTTTCAATCAACTGTATATACCAGCAAGCGTATCCGCAAGAACAAACACACCTATGACAATTCCTTTACAATCACTTACATAAAGATTTTGGTCATTTTAACTTGGAAGATTTTTCAACTTCTAAAAACACAGCATAACTGAAATTATGATTAACAACTGGAGATGTATTGTTGCCTATTCGGTATAACAGGGATTTCCTTCTGAGTTCTAAGAAGCAGCACATCTCCTATTCTTTAGTGTGCCTTCCTACACCATCCAATTAGCTCTTGCTCAGTTCTCATAATTTAGGTTATAGTCCCTGCCCTTCTGTAGCTTCACAGTCACTTCTAATTAAAATAAATAAACAAAAGACAAACTTAAGCAGGCGTATTACAATTGTTTAGAATAGCTCTAAAGTCAAGGTAGATTATCTATCTCATCCTAACAGGTAACACATTCGAAGCTTTATGTTCTCCTGTGCTCCATTAGCCAGATAGAAACTTCTATGACTGTCAGCTGAGCTGAAATACTCATTAGCCTTCCACACCACCACTCCGTTTTTCTTGCTCTGCAAATCCTCTCTCCTTTCCAAGGAACAGATTTCCTTTTCCCACTTTCAAACAACCCTCTTTCTGTATCTTCAAATTCAGTGCTACGGAGTCAACCACTATCTCTGAAGCTCTCAGCAGAGAATTCAACATCAGAAAAATAGATTATCCCAGACAAAAATGAAAGAGTCATTAAATTCTACAGGAAACTCTATGTACAGGGCTGGTATTCAGTAAATAACTACTACACTTTTATTTTTTAGGTTACTTAGAGTCTATGATGCTTTTTTCTCCCCCTTAAAATAAAGCAGTGAATTTGTGTGTGGAGAAGGTAAGACCAATCTGGCACGACAAACTTCCTCTCAGCAAGATGAAAACAATCATCCCATGGTAGATCCACCACGTTCTGCAAGCAGAGTGCAAGTCCCACACAATTAGTTCCCAGCCTACACTAGCGCAAAATAAGGATTTACCTCCAGCATCTATGCAGAACACAGTCTGTCCTCTACTCTGTGATTATATATGCCACACGTCAGGCTAGCTTGACCTGTAATCTACTGAAGTAAATTTCAGTAAATTAAAAAAGTAATTTCAGAGAATAGAAGCTGAAATGTTGTGCCAATTATAGTGCCTACCCTTTAAAAGAGCAAACTCCCAGCAGCAGCCTAGAGCAATGTAGGGTCAGATTCAGCCAAACAGTCCCTTGGCTAGACCAGGCTCAGTGGTAAACTCCACAGCTACTGACTGGCTGGTATAGCAACAGCTTCTCTCTGAATGCTAAATGGAGCTTCAAAGACAGACCGCCAACCAGGTCACTGGCCAAGAATTCGGGGAACAAGGCCATCTTCTGTATTAATTAGCATACTTTCGTAAACCATAAACATCGTAAAAGAGAAAACAATCCTCATCCATATTCCTTAACATTTTTAATTAATCTTACAACTTTGAACTACTCCTCTCATGTACGTAAGAGCAAACTGTTGCAGCTGTCAGGCAGAAAAAAAAGCCAGACCGATAAGGATGGCTGCACTTGCATTAAAAAAAATTCCACAAAACCTACAGCAAAAACCTGAATTCAGCTTTTAGGTACCACAAGATTACATTACTGTAGTATCTCTAGTACTTATACATGCTCCTAATTCCATTTTATCACTTGAAAGCTACTCAACCCATGCATTTTCATGACAGTAAGCCCTTTGCTATAACTTTCATCCCACTTTCTTAGACCTGATGTGCTAGAAAGATACAGATCACAGCAGAAACCTTCAGAACTACACCAGCAGTGAAAGCAGAAAGAAAGAAAAAAAAAAAAAAAAAAAAAAAGGCTGAATTTGCCATATCTAGGGCTGACAGCTACCTGCAGCCATCATCTTTCTAGGTCATTTTGTTAATTTTTCCTACTGCAACAATTCATCTGAACTACAAAAGTCCTATTTCTAATGAGAGCTCTTCTAGACGCTAATGTAAAATTTTGTCAGTCCTCCAGCCCTTCTAAAACTATTCCTTTAAGACTGTCTCTAGTTCCTACCTAGGCAGCAGAAAGAGAATAAATATTCCCCCACCTCTGAGATTTACACAAATATCATCAGATTACAGGGTTGTAAAAAACTGTTGCTTCTGGGCTCCATTAAGAGCAAGGAGGTAAATTCCTGTTCCTCCTCCATAATGACTCCTGCAGCACATGCTGCAGCATGACCAGTGGTGAAGCTAGACTAATCCCAACAGGTACAAGAAAGAAGGGTGGGGGAGAATGTGTCTGGAAAAAAAGACACATAGATACACTTCAGCAGAAGTGTATCTATTGAAGGCTATTCAGCTCCGATGTGCTGCACTAGGAACGGCAGCAAATTGAACTGTTACCTCAAAAGGACTCAGGTATAATATTGAAAGAGGGGTACAATGAAAACAGCGAAGACAGACAGCAGACATCAGTTGGGTACTACGTGATTCAGCGAAAAGGATATACCCATTTAACAGTTACAAACGGCCTTCCTTAACTGACGGAAGGGAAGAGGAGTGGCAGTTCAATGGGACTTGTATGCCCCAAAAATGTGGGCCAAACATATGCATTCACATGGAGCAGTGTCATTTTTAGCCTTCACTACAAAAAAAAAAAAAAAAAAAACCAAAAACAACAAACGGCAGCCTGAAGCTATCTGCAAGGCATACAGGATAGAAGAGATTCTTAACACTCCTTCAGCACTCCTTAGATGAAAAGCTCTTGCTGTGTCACTAATTACCACTTAAAACAAAGCTCACAGCCAACTCACGGGTAAGGCCCAGATCTTTCTGATGTCATTTGCTGAGTGCGACATACCTCACATTCCAAGCAGTGGTGAAGTCAGAGTTCAGCAGCAGCAGGGTACACGTGATATCTATCAGCTCTAAAAAGATTGAATAAGAGACACAAATGTTAGTAATGATTTGCACACAGCAGCATTCTCTCTGCACTCCCTTACTGCATGTTCTTCCTCAAAGTCTCTCCTCTGCAGGCTGATGTACCTATGGATGCCCACCTCTACAAAACACTGCTCTGTCTCATTCCACAGGAAATGTTAGCTTAATTTATGAGGGAACACAATAATGGACTTCTGTCTTGCCAACAACTTACATCTAATAAATTTGCAGCTGGAAATTTCTGACCTCTACCTGTACTGCGACAATCAAACATACAGTATGCCCTCAGCAAGGGACAGCCATCACATAAATCAATAAATACTCAAGGATTCTAAATTGCAGACACACCATTACATCATAAACAGAGAATTCTCCGAAGAAAATCCAACAATTTTAAATAAGGTAGTACCATTAAAAATATGCCCTACTATTTCAGTACAAGTCTCAACTGCAGATGGCTGCCATATACCATACTGTTAGAAAAAACTCCACATACTATAAAAAACCTGTAGCTAGAAAAATGAAACACCATAATGATGAATTAAGATCACAAAATAACTCCACTATCTAACTGCACAGAAAATACTTTAAATACATTCTGAAGTGACAGCCTTGCTTCATACTGAGGTTTTAAGACTAATTCACTAAACAAAGAACAAACAGAACATTTATTTGCATCCCTGCGTTTAAGCACTGCACAGTCTGTAGATATACGTAGTACACTTATTTTTAACAATGTCATAAAAACAGCACTGAGGTATATGGTTGCTGAGAATGGAAGAGCAATTTCACTGTAGCCTAGTCTTGCCCTTTCCACTGCACCACTTGAGCAGTTTAAGTCCCACCATAGTAACAGAGCGGATATCTATGAGGCATCTCCATGTAAGCTTGACATACTAACAACTGCCACTGAATTGGCTCCCTTAAACTCTGCTCTCAGGAGACACAGCATCAGATCAGTTAACCTGCCCTGCAATCACAATTATTAAATTTACATCGTAATTTTGTAATTCAGTAAGAAGAAGAAACTTTCTTCAAAACTGAAGGTGACTATCCAGGCTTTTACTGCCAAGACAGTTTGGCTATATTCTCGCCTAATCACCCTGCATTTAACATCCTAAGAAGACTGTACTCCAGGTGATTTCCAGCAAATAAGAGGCACTTTATTACTTTCAAGGAAAAAAAGGAAATGGAGAAACAGGGTCTCTCGTGGAACTAGATCTCTGGTTAGTGCAGTTAATGTGACTCTAAAATGAAATTTTAAAAAGACACTGATGAAATGCAACAATAATGGAGCATATTCAAAACTCAAAGGAACATGACTTCATGTATCTTTGAACCAAGACTTCGAGAGAAGTTGATATTTAAGTGGATCAAAAAGTGGAACACACCTTTGCATATTACTGTATGACTGCTTGTTCATTTATGACCCACAAAGTAATTCTGTGTTTCCCATGATGTTCCCCACTTATGAGGAATATGTTAGGCCATCCTATAAGGTAGTGGTGGGGAAATTCTTTAGTGTACTCTGTCAATTTTGCACTAAGCTGTTACAGTGATATTTTAAAAGTTACCTCAAGGAACTGACTTAATCTTCCTGGTTTCTAGTTCAGATTTTTTTTTTCCTTTAATGAAAGATTTTGTTTTAAACCCCTCTTTGTTGCCAGAGAACGAATATTTATCATATGTGCAAAGCTTCTTCCTAATTTGCTGCTTAAATGTACAAAGCTTTTTCTTTGACTTACCCAACCTGTGAACCACCAAAGTACTTCAGCAGCTATTTAATTTTAGACAGATGAATTGCCCAATTGAAATATCTCACATGTGTAAAATTAAACATCTACTAAGTGTTTTGCTGGCTACTGTTTCAACTTTACATTCAAAAACTTCAGTGGCAACATTTAACAAAACACCAGTTACAAGGATCTATAGTTAAAATTGTGAGCTGTCATTGTTTCATGTAGGTTTTCCATTTCACCTTCTCAAACTATTAATGCTTATTCCATGTTTTGAAAACTCTTGATTTTATGTACCATGAATATACATAATTAAATGGTCTGATTATTCTGCTATTATTACCTTGTGTCATAACAAATAGACAAAAATTGCCTTTCAAAATGTAATAGGCCAAGAGCTAATAATAACTCTTCCAAGGTAACATAAATCTTTACATCAAATTCACAGTACTTACCACATGGCAACTGAGAGTTTCCTCAAGGAAAAAAAAAAAAAACAATCAGGAAGTAATAGTGTTGTTGTTAACACAAAGCAAGGCTAAATACCCTTACTCAGTTAAATGCATTTTTAGCCCATCCAGCCAATTTTCTCCCTAGCTGGTGATTATTTATAAAAACAAACAACAACAACATCTCCCACCAAACACAAAAAATTCTAATACTAGCTTCTCCCCTAGACAAGAGTCACATATATTTTAAACTTGCTTTAAATTCTATTTAATCTAGACCGCCAGCAAATTGCTAGCCTAGTATAATTTTTGAAACATATTAGGAAGAGTTCAGAGTACCAAATCAAACCAAAGCTGATTGATAGTTCCCATGGTGAACTTTATTTTCAGCTCCTTATCACTTTGCGAAGAGATCAGTGGGCTGCATCTAAAGGCTCCATGCTTAACCATGGTAAGTATCGATCCAACAGGACCGTGCAATAAAGGAGATGTGCCTGCATGACTTTTTCATTTGTTACAGGAGGGAAAGGTGTTTGCTATAGGAGGGAAAGATTAATGAAACTGCAGTGCAGGATAAGAAGAAAACTAGAGACACAGCAAAATGCTCAATAAAGAACATGATTAGAGGCAGTTCTGAATGAAGTAATAAAAAATCCTGAACTTTTGAGTGTTGGAATTTTTTAAAATACAATAATGGTTTTAGTCATTGTTAGGTACTATCACTGTATATGCTATTGTTAAGCAAAAGCTTATTACAGCCTAGTTCAGTCTTCTGAATACTTTTTAGAAATGGTTTTCATAGCCTACTTAAGTCCCCTTAAGAGGATAAACAAACTGTATTCTTCTAAGTCATGATTTCCAGTGTAGCGTAACTATTCCAGTAATGTCAAAGGTCTGGAACTACACCAAATTGAGCCCAACTTAAACAAAAGCTTGTCTACCATTCTGTCTGTTTTCCAGTTACAGAGGTATCCCAGATATTATCAAAGAGAAGCAGACAAAAGGAAAATCTCAAAGCAATACCCAGTTCTTTCATGTCGATGTTGTTTGATGCTTTGTGCAACAACAGAATAGAACATAGACTAGAATATAGACTAGAATATAGAATAATTTAGGTTGGAAAAGACCCTTGAGATCGTCAAGTCCAACAGTAAAACTATAATGCAGAAGTCTGGCATTAGGAACAAACGCTGCTGCTACAAATGCTCTTAGCTCAGCAAGATTGATGTTGTAAGAAACCCCTGAGTCTGAGCAGGTTTCCCATATCCACACCTGCAATAAGAGGTACACCAGCACTAGAGAAACACCCCACTTCAGGTCTGGTGTTGCAGTATAGGCACATGCTCCAGCATTTTCTCAAATGTTGTGATTAATATTTACATATTAACCAGTAAGAGATGAAGATTTCATGAAGTGTGGATTCTGAGCCAGAGATGTCAAATGACACAATTTTAGTAACCTGAGCTACTTTTCAATAGAAAGTCTTATGAGAGCTCTGGCACACAATGATAGTAGTTCCCAGCTAGTTCCCTCTATGTCAGTAACAAGAAATATCTTTTACTTACCATTTAAAAGTACTTTCTGCTAGATACATTTTAAGCAAACTATAGCATCAGATGTGCTCACAACATACATGCCCTTTTGTACATGTAAGTCTTCTGCACTCAAAAGGACATGGTTTTAGCTCATTTTCTTTTAAAATATGGCTGTATCCAGATTTTTACTTTCATAAGTGTATCACACTAAGATGTGCTTTTCAGAAGAGTGTCGTAAAAGTAGAAACACAGATTTATGGAAAGTAAGGAAGAACAACACTTTACATAAAAGGAAAAGAAGTTTGTAGCAATTTCAGAAAACCATCTTGTGATAACAGAAATAATACGCATGCATAGACTAAAAACATATTTTGGAGAAAGGATAAAAACATATTGCAAAATTAGGATTTCTAAACTGGAACAATAGCAAGAAGAAAAGCAGTCATGATTCTGGATTCCAAGACACCATCTTATTCAAGTATCCAAAAGAAAACATAACTAAATTAAACATCTGTCACAGTAAGCTATCAATGACTGACAATAAAGCACTTCCTTCTTCCAGGATCATGCCAGAAAAATACCAAACACATCTGAAAGCAGACTCTTGAATCAGTACCCTGTTCTTCTTCTCTATTTAAAATGGCTTACAGTAATTCAAACAAGACAAAAGAGGTAACAAGAGACTACATTTGCAATCAGTTTACTACAAGCATCAATAGAATATGCAATTGAGTTTTGCAGCAGTAATAAACAAACATATCCCTTCACTACACTCAGTGGAAAAAAACTACCTTCCCAAATTCCAGCATGCACTTTTGCCTACAAGAAGTAATTTGGAGGAAAACCTTTGAGGATATTTCAAACATACAGAAAACGTAACATCTCATGATAGAGAGTATGGCTACTTATACCACATCAGAGGGACTTCCACCTTAATTTCCTCCACCACTGCAGTTCAGTTTCTGCTAAAATTTCCTATCAAATGTGAAACTCAATTATAGTAAGACATATTAAATTCTATAAGCTCTACCTTGCTTTACAAACAGGTTATTAACACGCTGAGGTCCTGATCAAGTTTTACAGCAGTGACACAAAACCTCAATAGACATGAAAACGCTGTAGATCACCTCTTTTCACACATTTTACATTGACTTTTGTAATTGAAGAAACAAAGAAGAAAACCAAACAAGTCTCAACAAACAGGCAGTAATCTAAACTTCATGCCACTCCAGTATTTACCAACACAGTTTTGTGATCTGCATTTTGAGAGGAAGGGTACGGTGAGGCTTCATCTGGGAGGGAAGCAGAGACACCCTCCAAGCAGTCAGTGCATCGTACCATCCTGGTGGAATAGGCATGTGTCACGGTGTCACTGCAACAATACGCCTGGACCTACGTGAACGGAGCGGGCTGCCAGTACATTAGCACCCAGCTGTTAGCCGAAGGGCAGCTATCAGTGGTCTCCAACCTCGCAGTGTAAGGCTGACACAAATTTCGGTGGTTTGTATTTTGGCCTGAAACAACAAGTTTTTGTCTGCGTGGCAGTTTCTAGGGAAGGACTTCTCTGTAACACTTGAGATCGAAATGAAAAGTCTCCCTGCAGAAGATCTGCAGCATAATCAAAACACACCTCACAAACAAAATACACCTCAGACCTGCAAAAAACACTGCAATGAGAACCATTGGTCTTGGTAAGACTGCCTGTGCTAGCAAGTTCAGCTCTTTAAATATAAAATTTGTTTCTGGCTACATTTCAGAGTCAACATTATTTATATTTCTCATATCAAAGCTCTATTTATTGAATTGTATAATTGTCTGCATCATAAATTCTGAACCAGAAACCAGTGATTGTGATGTGATTGCAAACAGAACTGAATGCATCAGCAGCAGCTTGGTGGCAGTTACCAAGAAGATCCAGGTTTTACTAGGTCCAACCATAAACCAGAGAACAAGCAAGAAATACAAGTTACTTATGCTAGAAATATACATCCCCTAGGAAATAAAGTCTTTTGAAGACATCTGTAATGACAAAGAATCTTGAAGAAAATAAACAACGTGAAAACAAAAAATAAAGGGTAATGTAAAACTTACAAAGTGCACAAGCCAATGTTTTGTCACTCTTAACACCAACTCAGGCACACAGCCACCACTGCAGACTATATGCTACCAGTAGAATGGATTCCTCTTTATCATGATCTGGTTTGCAAAGATGTAAGAAGTTCCCATGTATGACCTGTCCCCATCCACTAGAAGGAAAGTGCATTCATGTGCACATTATGAACCTTCTCTGCCATTTAATGCTAGTCTTTTCAAAATGCTTGTGTTCTGTATCTACATGTTTGTAATAAGGAATTAAAGTCTGCTTAATAACTCTAGACCCTGCCCTCAGGCAAAAAAAAGTAGGCAACTTTCACTGCCCTAAGAATGCTCCCCTGCCAAGATTCACTAAAGACCTCAATCTTCTTTCTCCATATCACTCCTGAATGCAAAAGCTCAAATGCACATTTGTAATAGACTCATCTAACACCATTTGACTGGCCCTTACCCTCTGCTTTAATGAAGGCAAGTGCACAGCTGGCTTCATCTACTTTAGGTCAAACAGACTATAGTAAAAAAAAATAAAAATTAAAGAAGAGAAAAGAGAATGGCAGATATAGAAAGAAAAAGATGTAACTAACCAGATCTCTTTTGCTGATCTACACTCAAAACCTACTCTCAAAACTTATCTGTTCAAGATAGTACAGCAGGCTAGTTATATGACAACTAGATGTTCCACCACATGTCTGCTAGCATCCCACTATTTAAAACATAATTATTTAACTCACTAGTTCATCAAGCAACCAGGGAGACTGCCTTTGCTACAGCTGCAATCAACACAACCCAATGGATGGCGGCTGTTGGGTATGTTCCAGGAGGGGAAGATAGTCTAAGACAACCATTTTAAAGCACAATGAACACAGCCATTATGCATTAGGTTAGTTTCATGCAAACAGGAAAAAAAAATAATTACAACATGGTAAGAGCCTCAAACTGAAAACCAGGTACATGTGAGATACTAAAGATCTGAATTCTGTCAGTGGTCATTGGGTGTTCAACAGAAAAATATCCCTCCATCTGGGACACAAAAACGTTAAAAATGCCGTAGCAGATAAAAGATACAAGAAAGAAGCCTCAAAAAGAACATGAACAAATCACAAAAATAAGCAACTTAAATAAGTCTAGAGTAAGAACATTTTTATGCTGACTGCTATTCAGATGACACCTCGAACCACGAACAAAAAAAATAGTTTAAGCTACAGTTACCCTTTTGCATTCTTACTCTGAACAGGAGACTTTGCAAGCAGTCAAATATTTCTCATGTCCCATCTGTTTATAAATCTTAAAAAAAAAAAAAAATCAAAATAGACAACATATACCAAAGTATTTTTCATACAAGTAAAACAAACTAAAAACTAAACCAAAACAAAAAGATGAACAAGGAAATAATGCTTTACAATTACCAAGTTGTATGGACTAACAGTTTCTGGTACCCCTACATCTGTACTTGCTTCTTACTTTAGATCCACATATCACCACAGTTTTCCTTCTGACTCAGGAAAGCAGGACAGAATTCCTTCTGTGAAGATTAACATCACTTCCCTAAATCACTCATGGGAAAAAGTCATCTCCTTCTAACCCTTCCATCTTGGGCAAGAGAGAGAGGATTTACATTTTCAACCAAGCAACCCTACAACTTGTTTAGTTTGCCAAGATGCACAATCCAAAGCCTGCCCTCCCCCTGAGTAACACTCAGTTCTTTCAGAACTGGTTAAACTGGCTTTAAGAAGGGCCAGTGTAGTGTCAAAAAAGGAGATCAAGGAGATCAAGTGCACCCTCAGTAAGTTTGCAGATGTCACCAAGTTGGGTGGGAGTGGTGACCTGCTTGAGGGCAGGAAGGCTCTACAAAGGCATGTGGACAGGCTGGAGCGGTGGGCCAAGGCCAATGGTATGAGGTTCAACAAGGCCAAGTGCCGGGTCCTGCACTTGGGTCACAACAACCCCATGCAGCGCTACAGGCTTGGGGTGGAGTGGCTGGAAAGCTGCCTGGCAGAAAAGTACCTGGGGGTACTGTTTGACAACCGGCTGAATATAAGCCAGCAGTGAGCTCAGGTGGCCAAGACAACCAATGGCATCCTGGCTTGGATCAGAAACAGAGTGGCCAGCAGGACTAGGGAAGTGATTGTCCCCCTGTACTTGCCACTGGTGAGGCTCCGCCTCAAATACTGTGTTCAGTTTTGGGCTCCTCACTACAAGACAGATATTGAGGTGCTGGAGCATATCAAAAGAAGAGCAACAAAGCTGGTGAGGGGCCTAGAGTACAAGTCTTACGAGGAGCGGCTGATGGAACTTGGGTCGTTTAGCCTGGAGAAGAGGAGGCTGAGGGGAGACCTTATCATCCTCTACAACTACCTGAAAGGAGGTTGTAGCGAGGTGGGGGTCAGTCTGTTCTCCCAGGTAACAAGTGACAGGATGAGAGGAAATGGCCTCAAGTTGCACCAGGGGAGGCTTCAACTGGATATTTGCAAAACTGTGTTCACCGAAAGCATTGTCAAGCATTGGAACAGGCTTCCCAGGGAAGTGGTTGAGTGACCATCCCTGGAGGTGTTTAAAAGACGCGTAGACGCGGCACTTAGGGACATGGTTTAGCGGTGGACTTCGTAGTGTTAGGTTTATGGTTGGACTTGATAATCTTAAGGGTCTTTGCCAACCTAAATGATTCTGTGATTAATAAAAAAATGTGCATTAAGAATCACATAAGATACTACTCTCCCACTGGGTAACTTACCATCTTTGTTCAGCCATTGTTTTCTTTGTCTGTAGAGGAGAAGTTTATTGTGGACATATGGCAAAAGAAACTTGACACACCAGCTCTCCACACCAAGCTTGTTTTCTACCAGGACGATAGGGCTTCGGTTATATCTGGCTTCAGGGCAGGGTATTAATCCAATTTCATCTCTTAAAAAAACAGAAAGAAACATAATTAGACTTATTTCCATAGATGCCAATTATTTTTCTCAATAAAGCAGACTGACAATACTTCCCACACAGTCAGTCCATCATCTTTTTCCCTGTTTTTACTGAAATCCATACTCATTATCCTCAATTTACCTTCGTGATTGTTGCCAGACTGCAGGTACAATAAAAAGCTTTTTCAGAAAGCCATTCTCTGCAAAACTCATGCAGTACATTAACTTGGCAAATAAATGATTCAAACATGTTTCAAGGCATGAGTAAAGATTTCAGTTGAGCAAAAAAAGTAAACGCATTTTATCTCTGTACAATTTATTCAGACACAACATAGAAGCCAGTTGTGGTTTTGAATTACAAGTCACTACAAAAAAATTGTATTAGTTCCTCAATGCCGTATTCATAGAAAAACAGAAATATTTTAAGACTTGTTGAAGACTCTGGAAGTAATAGCCATGATTAGATGTGCCAACATGAATTCCAAATCCTTTAAACATTTTCTAGGAAGATTAATTTTGGTGATTCTGGCTCTTCTCACCTTAAGATAATTGGAAAAGTTTTATTAGATTTTCCCAAAGATTCTAAATGAGGAAGGTCCCTTCTTTATATTTTTAGATTATCCCTTAAGCAGTTTAACCCAGCTGAATTAACACAAGTAACCCTGGCTTTGTGATGGAGATCCAAAGGAGCTGTAACTGCTACTGCAAGTGACACAAAACATGTTAACCAGTACAGGCACCTAACTGACCCAAAGCTTCCCAGGTGTGCCCTGCAGCAGTGTGACCAGATGCTCTGAAGCCAAAGATCATGCAAAAGAGAATCACATAGACAGCAAGGTGTGTGTTTCTAAAAAAAAAAATGCTGAACAGGGGAAAGATTTGAGATAGGCCAATCTGAATTAACAGCAACTTTGTATGAGAGGTTTTAATCAAGCCTTTAAAAAAAATAGTGATGGCCACAAAAAATTTGTACCAGCAAACAAAGCAGAAGAGACCCATCTGTTTAGTTTCAAAGGGCCATAACATGTTTTGCTTTTTCCTCATCTTTCTCTAGCATGTAGAGATGCTGGAAGAGCAGCTTTAATAGCTTCTTAAAAAAACCCCACAGGTTGTCAAGCATTCACACTCATTTGAACAAAAAGCAACATTATTTTATATTTTCCATTATGCATGATTTCTCCACCAACCCAAATTTAGTGGAAAATTTTGTTGCTGAGGAGGGAGATTCTCAGACCTCAGACAGGAAAAAAAAAATCTCTCATGATATCAGACAGAAAGCGAATTCTCCACCTTAAATTTTCTCAATACAAGGTAGACAGGTGCACTCCAAGTGTAAACCCCACAACCTCAACTCAATTATCATAAACTAATTCTGTTACTGGACAATCTGAGCATACCGATTTAGTTCTGTGTCCTCACTGGATGATTACTAAAGTAATCAAAAGTGACACAATGTGTTTGTTTAAGAATACATTTGCTTATTCAGAAAACAGATTTGATCTTCTATACATCGCAACATACATCAAAAGCCAAAAAGAGCATAAGTAACTCGAGGCAAGATATTTGCAAATGACTTGCCTCTGTCTCCAAACACACATCCACATCCGTTACCCATCACTGGTCATCCAAGAACAGAGAGGAAAACCAGCATTTTCCTGCACCACCAATTGCAAGCCACGGATATCAAAGCAAGATCCTCATCCCTGCTGCTCTACTCAACGCAAGTTAAACTCTTCAGGAAACTAGTCAGATTAGACCTAAAGTGACATTCCAGTCTGCTTCTTTCAAAATGGCACCTTACAGCCCGAATTCTGTACTTGCTGCTGGCTCCTTTCCTTTATGAATGTTAAATCCAGTCCTTGGCCAAACTCTGCCTGACCTTGCATATAAGGACATAAAGGTCACCACCTGCAATGAAGATGCAGTCATCCAGTTTTGCTAATGAACTGCATGAATCACAAGAATTTCCCAGCTGTTGCTTACAAACAGTACACGAAAGGTAAACAGCAAGGAGAGAAAAAAAAAACAAACAACATACATCCCTACCTTCACTTCTTACCAAATACAAAAAGCCTTACTCAGGTTAGTCAAGTTTCACAACACTGTTTTAAACATGCCAAAAAGACAGACAGATAGGGTTTGCACAGAGCTGACAAGTCAGCCTGAAACACCACAACTCCAGAACATGCTCATCTAACCAAAATCAGCAGATGACTAGACCACCGTACAATGAAATTCATCAAGATACAGTGCAAAACAAAAAATGGTTTATCTGGCAACTACTCAGTTTTTGCTAAGATGCAAATCAGGGCTTGTCACTTGGTAGAAATGTTGTCTCCAAGACCTCGGTATTGTTTTTGTTGATCTGTGCCGTTCATAAATCATACGTTGCAGTCAATTCCTGAGAAGGAACAGAATTCACGGTGTAAAATACCAGGAGGGCAGGTTTATCTAAGGCGGGGTGCCTAGCTCACAACCAAAACAATTAATTCAAACCACCACCTATTTCTGCTCCTGAAAGCCCCTCAGATCTGCAGAAGGAGAAAGTAATGGGGCAGGTCTGTCAGCTCAGGAGACACTGCTTGAGAACACCTGCAGCCTCTGCTCCATTGTGCACTTGAAGAAATCTTCTGCAGCAGGACTCACATGCAGGCACCATTGAATTACTGCTTATAAAATGAAGTGACTGAAGTACCCTTGATCTTGCTCAAACTGCCCCTGGCCATGTCACAGAAGATGTGCCTGTTCATATGACAGGACTGCCCAAACTCACTGCAGGATGGAGGATGCCTACATTTAGGTCAAGTGACAGATGCAAGCTGCTCACAATACTGAAGGGGATACCAATCGAGGGCTGCTGTTTGTCAGTACTTCGTACTATCAAGAATACCTTCTACTATGAAAGTAAGATTTAATTTAGGTCCCTAGATTTCCCAGTTTTCTGATACCGTCTCCTGAATTTTAGGAGTTATTTGGTGCTTTTACATTTATTTTCTTCAAAGCAAGAACCACAGTCACATTCCAAAAACTGCATGAATTATCTCTGTATTTACAGGATACCACACTAGTTCACATTCCTAAAATACACTGCGGAAGCAGCCAGAACTCAGTGGAAAATTTTAGCTGGGTTGTCATGAAGTCTGCAGCCATTACAGAGTTTCTTCAGCCTGTGCTGAGACCAGAGCAGATGTGCAAGACAAGACCCAGGAGAGCGTGGAGCCGTAAAATCCAGACCTGGTCCATAGTGCAAACCTCATCCATAGCAGAACAGTACTGACAAGCTATTGCAGGACCTGCTTCAAGAGCCCCAGTCGGTTGACTCAGCCATTCAATGGCCCTCCCTAAAATAAACCCTAGCCAACCTACTTCAAACTTTAAAAACCATGATGGTACAAAAAAGTTCCCTTTCAGAAAACAACAGCACCACAGTAGCTTTAGGTATCCCACACGAAGGGACCTATCTTCTCCAACTATTTTTCTGGAAGATCATCTTTAAAATAAGCCATCCTCTCCCCACAGAATTAGACAGAGGATATTAAGTAATGGTCGGGAGATCTGAATGAGGTACAATCAGTGGATAGATACAATGCAGCTACAATTCTACTGACCAGAAAGTCTGGACCAAAGTAGTTGAATATTTCTGGAGTTATAAAAAGCTTTTAATACTGGAAGACAATCCAGAGCATGGACACTCAAAGGGTGTATATTTTTACACTAAAGTAAGTATAATGAAATGACTACATGGCTAATTAATTTACAACATTTGGAAGGCAAGGAAGAGGGGGCCTAAATCCAAGAGTTGAAAGTTTTTTTTCCATATCGTGCAGTGCATTATATACACAAGATTCTCTTTTAGAATTAAAAAAAATCCTCAGATTTCGTACACAAATGCTGGACTACCATCTAAGAGTTCATCTTTCCAATTAGACCCATCAAATTCGCATACATTTTTGAGGAGTGAGTCTATTACTGTTTGACTTCACATGTAAAAGAACAGCACAGTTCAAAACAAAAACAGAATCCAGAACGTTCAAGAAGTTGATCTGCTCACTGCTGGCGATCCATTCAGTTCCAGTGGGATAGCCCACGTATATGACCTATGCTTGAAAGACTGGGTGAAAATATCTTCCAGTAAATTTCATACCCTTACAAAATTAAGGACTAATATGCTAACAGTTATCCAACTGAAGAAAATGGAGCTATCAGCAAGACAATGCAAAAAGAATTTCAAGTTGTATTTTTAGTTAGAAGTAAGCTCAGCTTAAGAAGATGCACAGTCTTGCTGCAAATCTAATTTAAAGGGAAAAAAAAATAGAGAAACAACAATCCAGTGTTCTAGTAAGTCTAAAACTGTATTTTTACATGCTTTTTAGTGTAACCAGAGACAATATCCCCTTTAAAACCTACAAAACCATGAACTTGCCAGAACAAACAGCCATTTTGACAGGCGCAAAGGGCATAAGTGAACAGTCAAAGACAAGGGACAACAAATGCTGGAAGTATTCAAACTTGGATCTGTGACACGAGCAGGCCGCTCAATTGAAGAGGATAACATCTGTCAGGGACCGCAGCTGGTAACAACTGTCTTGGCCACCAGCAGGAAGACAAGACATCTCCGAGATACACATCTGGCCAACACGACAGCAACCTGGTGCTCTAGAGGCAGGGAGGCATCATAGCAAAGGGCCTGCAGTCCACACCTGCCATGCATAGTCCCATTTCAACTACTGCAGTTCAGAAATCTAGCAGACAGAATTGTCACTTTTTCTACTTTTAGGGGCAAATCAGCAGTAGCTTATGCTTCCTCACTCAAAGCACAGTGCACTAGTCTCAGAGCACACAACTCCCGTAGCCTACTTTCATCTCCGAGATCGCATCTACAAAAGAAAACAGCAAGACTATCATATTCATCAAAAACAAGCTCGAAGTTTGCTGCCCATAAAGAATTCTGGTGGAAGAGTAGGAACTAAGAAGAACCAGAAACATTCA